TATGCCTCTGTGCTCCACAAGATACCGGATTAACTAACTTCTTAGACTATTGCTTTCAGGACCTGTGAGAATGTTGGCATATTATGAAACATAACAAAAAAACAACAACCCAGAAGCAGTAAATTACGATTAAAAAAGAATTGAAACTAACTCAGGGAACACTGCTTTACTTGAGAGAGTAAATACAATGCTAAGTAGCAAAACATTAACAGCATGGTCTTTGTTCAATGTTTGCTGCTCTGGAAAGATTCAGCTAAAACAAAGCATGGTATTAGATGGTAGGATTTTCTCTTTTCAAGCCCTAAGTAACACTACCAAATGGAACACTAAACCTCTTTGCAAAGTACAGCAGTTCTTTCAAATCACTCAGCTCTACATGCTATCATCTTTGAACCAACATACAGTCATTTATCATTTGTCTTTTCAAACACAAACTTACACAGAACAGAGGTATTCCTTATTATTTATAGTTTTCTATACATTCCATGCAAGACAGCAGAGAAGAGAATTTTGAGACAATTGCAGTGTTTCAATCATTTCAAAAACATCACACAATTGTTGCCAAGCGAGGACTCCGAAGTCCACAGTGCCTCTCTAACTGCAGAGGCATTGCCATCACAGAGACTCGACTGGATTGTATTTTCCCAAGCACTGCCTCTTTCAGAACGGCACAAACGTAAAACTGTGCCTCGGAGTGAAAAAAAAAAGAAAGGGACTAACCAAACCTGCCCATGGGGAAAACCAATCTGACACAGCGGTTGCTATTAATTAGCATTCCTATTTGTTCAGTGCTGCTTCCAGCTTCCAAAGGAAGTGTGACCGGCTTAGCTAAGAAAATGCTACTTCTCAAAGCTGCTAGCACTCTATTTCCTGGGCAAACAAGCTGCCCTTCAGTGCCACACCACGCACTGGTGTTCTGGAGAGCATCAAGGTTAACAACTTCCGTCTATGCATCCTGCACCTATGTACAGCCTTAAAAAAAAGAAAATAAATTCAACATTTAAAAGACATTTTAAAGGCTTTTTTTTTTCCCCTCTCTGTTAAATGAACCTAAGGGAGCAGCAGCAAAAGAAAGGGGACTGCCTGACAGATGGTCACAAGCAAGCAGGTGACCCCTGAAGCTTTCCAGCTCTCTGCGAGTCAATTATTGATGGGGATTTCTCTTCTTACCGCCCCATCCCATGCAGAGAGGAGCAGCAGCAGCAGGAAAACCTCATTCAGAATGCATCCATCCCCGCCAAATGACTCTGGGAAGAAGCAAACCAGCAGCGGTGAGCAGATGGTGCGAGCGGCTCGGGAGCCGGGAGCGCAGCCGAGAGGAGCGCGGCGAGCCCGCGGAGCCAACCCTGGACTTCCTATCCCTTAGCTCCCGCTAAGACATACCGTGGGAGCTGCAGATGGCCCGGGCTCTGCATCCCCACGGCTTTGTTTATCGGAAAATATTCAAAATGGAAACCTGACTCCACTTCTAAAAATAGCCGAATTTACTCCAAGTCAACTTGAAGTCCCGCTGTCGAAGTGTGTGACAACAGTGAGCAAATACCTCGTCTTATCTCCAAAAGGCAGCATGTCAAGCCAAGAGGGGGGAAATGCCCAGACGAGCTCTTCAGGTCCTCAGTATGGGGTTCTTCGCAAGAACCGGCACCGAGAAGGGGCGAGCGCGGAGCGGCCGCCCCCGAGCAGCGGCAG